GTAAATATTGTTATTGGTTATTGTGTCCAGTCAGATCTTCCTAAAAATCATATTTCCAGACACATCACATCAGTCCAGGGCATATGATTAGCCAGCTCTCCAGCTAACTTACTCCACTTTTTTTTGGAAATAGGCTCGTTTTACAACTCCCCCAGAGTTAAACAGTTGGGTTTTACCATTTTCGAATCCATTCAGCCGATTTTCTGATATTTAGAAGAATATCAGTAACCAGACAGTTTCTGGTCTCATTGACTTCCATAGTAGGAAAAAATATACTATGGAAGTCAATGAGACCAGAAACTGTCTGGTTACTGATATTCTTCTAAAAATCAGAAAATCGGCTGAATGGATTCGAAAATGGTAAAACATGACTGTTTAACTCTGGGGGAGTTGAAAATTTGGTTAAAACCAACCATAAAATTACAGAAAACAAAAGCCGGAGCATTCTAGACGTTGCTCGCATAAGCTTCCAGTCAGTTGCTGTCCATTTGAGTAAAACAATTTTTTTATCGCACCATCTGGATAATTGTGCCATTGTGTTCTGATGAGTGATCCTGATATCGTCATAGACTTCAGAGCCAGAACTTCAGATCCTACTGAGACTCTGGAAATGACCAGGCAGAAGTGATGATGCAGGGTGGGAAAGTAACCGGAAAAACAATCCTGCGGCATCACTGTTTATTTCCTCTAAATGTTATTCTCCTTTGCATTGGTGTGTCATTGGCATCTATTTAAAATAACATTTTCCACATTATATTATGCCATGCATAATGATGTGATGACTTAGGCAAACAATTACAGTTTACCGGAATAATTGTCATTATCATCTCATGTTGTGTAAAGCTCGGAAATCGAGGTCGAATTTAGACGAGGTTTTATATCACTAATGCCAAACACCATCAGCAATTCGTAAACGTCATTTGAAAGTAGAGGGCAAGATTTTCATCCCGAGTTTGTTTGATTTTATAATGTGTAAAATTTGTTTCTCTCAGCGCAGACAATTTGTTTATCTCAAAACCACAGCCGTAACATCTCAAGATGATTTTAAGGTGTTAAGCCAGTTGCAGACAATGCATCATAGAAAGATACTGAAAGCATACATTTTGGTGAATCTCTACATTTGCATGAGAGAATGAAGAATGAAACCACCTTTTGGGTTCATTTGCATTGTGAGATAACATTATGACAATGAAATCATTATATATATCATACACACACACACACACACACACACACATATATAATGCCCGGTTTATGTTCTGTTTTTATTTAGTTTTATGCGTTCCCAGTTCCTGTGTTTATTTCCTGTCTTCCTTAGTTTACCTATGTGTGTGCCTGTTAGTTACCATAACAACCTATTGAGTCCACATGCCCCTTGTTAATTTACTTATTTACTTTGCATATTTCCCTCTCTAGTTCAGTTTCTTGTGAATTTTTACATCTCTTTAAAGGAGTAGTTCATTTTTGAAAAAACTTTTGCTGATAATTTACTCACCCCCATGTCATCCAAGATGTCCATGTCATTCTTTCTTTAGTCGAAAAGAAATTAAGCTGTTTGATGAAAACATTCCAGGATTTTTCTCCATATAATGGACTTCAATGGGAACCAAACGGTTCAAGGTCCAAAAGACAGTTTCAGTGCAAACTGTTCAAAGAGCTTTAAACGATTCCAGACGATGAATAAGGGTCTTATCAAGCGAAACGATCGCTCATTTAAAATAAAAATAACAAAGTTTAAGTTTTATTGCTCTGTTCTGTGATGCGCATTCGTGACTCTCCTGTTCGAACTCGTTCATCAAAATGAACAAATTTTTTCCCGAGTCAATTCGTTTATTTCGTTTATTGATTGAACCAAATGACATGAAAAAAGATTCATTCATTTTGATAAACGAGTTCGAACAGGAGAGTCACGAACGCGCATCACAGAACAGGGCAAGGTAATCATTTGAGCTTATAAAACTTAAACTTTGTTATTATTTATTTTTTAAAATGAGCAATCGTTTCGCTTGATAAGACCCTTATTCGTCGTCTGGAATCGTTTAAAGCCCTTTGAAACGATTTGCACTGAAACTGCCTTTTGGACCTTGAGCCATTTGGTTCCCATTGAAGTCCATTATATGGAGAAAAATCCTGGAATGTTTTCATCAAAAACCTTAATTTCTTTTCGACAGAAGAAAGAAAAACATGGACATCTTGGATGACATGGGGGTGAGTAAATTATCAGCAAAAGTTTTTTTTTTAAAGTGGACTACTCCTTTAAGTTTGCTGTTCGTTCTGGGTGTCATTGTTTCTAAAGTCCTCAGTTTTGTCCCATCTTCACTAAAACGCAAAACGGAGCTGCAGCGTTTCTAAACTTCTCCGTTTTAGGTCTTTGTTTTTTTCCGTTTTTGTCTGGACGGGAGGTGCAAACGTAGCAAAAGGTCTCCATTTTTAAACGAAAGCGCAATAGTGTGAACGGGGCCTAAGGTGTAGTTTCTGTTTATGGCTTGAGGATGCGCCATTCGGGGGTGGAGCGTAATGTCAGGTTTATGTTCTGTTTTGGTTTAGTTATGTGTTTTACCAGTTCCCAGTTAGTTTCATGGTGCTTGCCTGTTATTTGCCATAACAAACTATTGTGTTCACCTATAATTCTCATTTAGTCTGTCTGTGTGTATACTCCCTGTTTTTTTCAGTGTCCGTTGACTGTATGTATTTGTTTAGTGGTTGTTTTTCTCCTGGGTCAGACATTACCTGTTCATGACCGGTTCCATATTCTCATTGTTTGATTTGCAGGATCTGTTAGAGTGGTTATATTTTTTTCATATTCCCTATTTTCCAACGTTATGGAGCCAATTTTCATATAATGAGATACTTGAGTGTGGCAGTGGATAAAAGTAGCCTACATGTGGTGATTGTTGTAAAAAAAAAAAAAAAAAAATCATGTTGTGATGAAGTGTTTTTCCTGTTTTTGATTTGCAGGTTTGCTGCTCTCACTGCTGTCTGATGCATTAAAACACAATTCTGTGAGGTTCATATGACCCTGATAATACTGCGTGTGATGGGCTCAAGTCTCCTGAGATCAGAGGAGTCAAAGCCCAGAATCCAGCTGTCTGCTCTTTCATTTAGACACATGTACAACCCTGCAGACACAAAAATCCATTTCACAACCAACAGCTGAAAAGTGAACAGACTTTGGTGTTTTACCAACTATGTGTTTTGAAAGGCTTACAGAAAATGTCTGTCGTCACATTGGAGGAAATTGCTTTGCATTCTTTTGAAATTTATTACAAAGTTCAGAGCTGCTGAATACACATTATGTATTTTAATGGCATACCAAATGACAGGCCAATTACATACCATGAGGAAACTGATAAACCAACGCATTCTCACCCCAAGGCGTCACCTTTGACCATGCTTCAATATTTGACGTTTTAGGCGCCCTTTAGCGTCACTTACATGACGCGATCCTACGGCGTCATCTAACTGACGCTAAAGGAAAGCGTCAGTCAGAGGACGCGGTTAGGTTTAGGTATGGGGTGGGGGTAGGGTACACGCGATCCTAGGGCGTCATCTAACTGACGCTAAAGGGCGCCTAAAGCGTCAGATATTGAAGCATGTCCAAAGAATGGGCTGGATAAACACTGATTTCGAACACACCGTCTGATTTAAATCATTTGAAATAATTCACTAACAGTTTTTGCTGTGCTCAATAACCACTTACTTAAAGGCTCCCAAATATCATCTTTATTGCCTTCATACATTTTGTACATATGGTTATGGAGATTTAATTTGTAGGGTGAAGCCATGTTGAATGAAACACACAGTGGGACCTGTCCTTTGACCACCAGTCTGTTTTTTTTTTTGTTTTTTTGCCCCATTTAATGAAAAGTTATGCATGGCTGGGGGGATGGTGATGGGTGCGTCTTATCTCCTTGAAAATATAAAACGCAGACGGAGCCAGGCAGGGCAATCAGTACCCAGAGCATTTCCCATGCATCCACACTTCTTCTGAACAGGTCCCACAGTGCATTTCTACCTCCAACGAGCACATTATTACTATCTAGGAAATGTGCTTCATCCTCTAGGGTATGATAAATTCATTCCACCCCGGACTCCATGTGCTTTTTACTGATTAGGTGAGAATATGAGGAATGCCAAGCCAGCCTCTCATTCTATCTCCCATTCCATTCAGGGCATTCCCATGAGTAATATTCTGATGTTTATGAGCTCAAAATGTCTTCAAAGTGTTGTAGTTATACATTTCTGCCATATTATGACTGAATTTTCCCACGGAAATCTGATTAATGGAAAATTGCAAGTTTAGAAATATGGAAAATGTGAAACGCTCACCACAAAGTTAAATACTGAAACCTCTGGGATTGCTGTCATGTTTCCTTCATTCTTAAACTCAACAGAACGTTCTTCAAATGTATTATTTGCTCGAGGATTTTAGTAACCACAATGGCATTCAGCCAAGAGTCAACTATAAAGATATATTTGAACAGAATGTTTCAACTATATTTCTTCATTAATGTCATGTCAAGGAAATATTTCAATCAAGACAGAATTTGGTGGCAAAAAACATATATTTGGTATTTAATTCCTTGCATTGTGTTTCACTAAAGCTAACCTGTAGCCTATCTTTTTTTCCCCCTGGATTCATCTATTTGTAATGTGTGTTTCATGTCAGACGAATTCCTTCAAAACCATTTAAACATCTTAGCATGTAGCCTACCTAATGAGGGTGGTTTAGTGAATGTCCAGAGTGTGTGATGAAATAGACAATAAATAAATGATTTATATACAGTTTTTATTTGTTTAATATTTGTAAACATAAACATATTTTCCATATTTACTTTTTTATTTCACAGTTTTGATGACTTCATTAACGTCCAAGTCCTAGGGGAAAAAAAGCACCATCCTAAATTTCCTGCATCTCATCCAAGGAAAAGGCTTGTGACGTCGACGTCAGCCTGCGGGAGCCGGATATCCGCCATGACCAGGAAAATCCCATATTTGGGCATTCTTAGCAGGAGTAATGGCAGCTTACATTGTATGTGAACGGCTAGCTAGACGCTGAATATTGAGTTAATGATCGATTTTTTGACATTGTCATCCCACGATTGAGACGGATAAGTGGTCGAAAGGAAAGTATATTTTTTAAAAATGTCAAAAAGCAAATGTTAGGGACGTATCCGTCAAACCACTACCAATCCGAAACCACTTAGCACGGCTTTAGCATCCTCGAGACCGTTTCCTATATTTTTCCGCTATTCGCAACCCTCCGACGCATAACCGGTATCGTCCGAGCTCCATGCCCGAGCAAGGCCCGAGAATGAACTTCTCCCTCGGTGAGTTGTGCTGGCTCTTCTGCTGCCCGCCCTGTCCGAGTCGCATCGCGGCCAAACTAGCGTTCCTGCCGCCCGAGCCCACGTACTCCATCCACACGGACGCGAGCGGCGCGACCAGCCTGCATCTCACCGAGCGCGCCGACTGGCAGTACTCGCAGCGCGAGCTGGACGCTGTCGAGGTGCTTGTGACCCGAACCAGCCGCGGGAACCGGGTCGGCTGCATGTTCGTCCGGTGCGCGCCCAATAGCCGCTACACGCTGCTGTTCTCTCACGGGAATGCCGTGGATCTGGGCCAGATGTGCAGCTTCTATATCGGCCTCGGGTCCAGGATCAACTGCAATGTGTTCTCCTATGATTACTCGGGTTATGGCGTCAGTACCGGGAAACCCTCCGAGAAGAACCTTTACGCCGATATCGAAGCGGCCTGGCAGGTTCTACGGAACAAGTGAGTGTTATGAGCAGGTGCTTCTGTGTTTGTGTGCCAACTACGATTGTCTTGCGGGATGTTTTCATGCATTGCACTGTGCATATGTATTCCAAAACATTGTCTTTCCTTCTGCAATTCATGAATGAACGGATGTAATGTGAAATGAGTGAATGTTATTTATTGGCTCATAAAGTTCCCTATTTTCTTATTTGATGTGTTTTGAAAAAAATCTGCATTCTCGTTGAGCTCATCATATTTCATGAAACGCCGAGAAACTGTTGATCAGTTTGTTTGAATATCGGTTATAAAAAATATCAAACTAGTGCATAACTGTCTATCACCTTTGCGACTAAAATTAAGCATTATTACTGTTGTTCATTTTTGTAGTTGTAGTAATGTCAAGTAAAATTCTGCATATCGCTGTCGTCATTATTGCCATCAGTCATAAAAAGTAGGGATGCACGATGTATCGGCCACCATATCGGTATCGGCTGATATATGTTCTTTGCAAATATTGTCGTTATCAACCCGGTAAGATAATAATTTGGCCAAGATATTAAAGCCGATAAACTAAATTATGGTTTATTTGCTTCAGCTGAGATGCATCAGATGCACACCAATCGTCATGATGGTTTTGAATTGCTTGAAATATGATTGAAATCACTTTAAAAAGTCTGCCGTAAAAATTGTGCGCTTTTAATGGTGAGATTTTTGGTTTTTGTAATCAGGTTTTCAAAAATTATATGGAAATTTAGATTTAGTTTTAATCTGCCAATATATAAATTATCGGCTTAATCTGCCAAGCCAATATATCAATTATCGGCTTTAAAATATTAATAATTATCGGTATCGGCCAAAATTTTCATTTAATAAAAGGGCTATGAACCCGTCCTACCCGTTCACACCAAGGATGACAAAGTTAAAGTTTTAAAAATGGTTCTTAATTTCAAAGAATAGCAAAGTACACAAAATGGCAATAACAATATCATTAGAATCACTCTTTCGCATTATTTTTTTTCTTCCAGTTGATGAATAAAAACATTGACAGCCAATCAGAATCTGTTTGACTTTAAAAAAATTTAATACTTAGAAGAATATCAGTAACCAGACAGTTTCTGGTGTCATTGACTTCCATAGTATATATATTTTTCCTACTATTGAAGTCAATTAGACCAGAAACTGTCTGGTTACTGATATTCTTCTAAATATCAGAAAATCGGCTGAATGGATTCGAAAACAGTAAAACTCGACTGTTTAACTCTGGGGGAGTGATCAAATGAGCCTATTTCCAAAAAAAAGTGGAGTATCCCTTTAAGGGAGCTTGAGAACATAAAGTGGCAGAATAGACCTGCAGTGTGCACTAATAAGAAACAATGCTATTGTGCCTTGATATGGGTGCTAATAAAGTTATCATTATAATTATAGTTCATATATAATTATAGTTATCTTGTTTCTTTCTTTAGTGTCCTGTTGATTTAAAGAGCATATTGCAGGTAAAAAAAAAAATCGAAATTTATAGATAACCTTGTATGAAAATACCATATGAAAAGTTAATGCAGGATTTAAAATGTTTTAAAACAACATAAGGACACTAATTTAAAAGATAAAGTGAGCGTTTCTTGGACTGCTAGTAAAAACGGCTTTTTTTTCAACGTCGCGTCATTTGACGTCATAGCAGGGAGCCGCAGCCTCGGCTCAGTGAGAGTAGGCTGGTGTTCAGTGAGAGCGCTCGTCAGTCAGTGTGCTTTTGTTAGTTTTTGCATTTTAATTTATCATCGTCATGGTAAATTATTGTGTTTGTGGAGATTGCAAAAACTCCAGCCTGTCAGGACTTCAAGATCGAGTCCACAAGTTTCCATTACAATAAAAGTGACGGTGCTATATAGCCTATCTTTCGTTCCTGGTGCGGTTTGAGCAGGTGAAGAGACGGGATTTCTCCTCTCGGCTCGGAAAACACGGTCGTGTGTAGCGTTCACTTCAGATCAAATGATTAGCATCCCGGCAATATGATGGAGTTCAACATGGTATGCCGAAGCAAGAATATTGATCGTCGTATACTACCAATGGCATCAAATAGTGTTATATAGGACAGGTAACTTAGTCATGTCATGCCCTAAATAAAACTTGTAATTGAAAAACAAAATTGGTTGTTTAAATACTCAAACCTTTAATGTTCTGTTTATGTTATAACCAAGGTGAAAATATGTATTAAAAATTTACCCGAGTATAGCCTATGCTTTTAGTATAGAAATATACTCAAGTAAAGTTTTTATACATTTAATAGTATATAAATCTACCCTAAACATACTAATGTCTGCTGGCCTGTTATAGGATCATAATAATCTGTACAATATTGTGAGCACAGTGTATATCGTTAGCGAACGTGTATACTATAAGTCTCTCACCTAAAAGGCACCTGTCCTGTTCTCCACTGGCTCTCCTCACATCACAGCTCAATTTTTCTCTGACCATTCTGTCTGACATTATCCTGGCCTGTCCCTGATCTCTTTAGCATAGCAGGCTCATAACTTTATGGCTTGATCCGTCATACGAGTATTTCCTCAGCGTCCGAAATGTCATGCGATTCATTGTTTTCCTGTTGTGTGAATCGACCGCTCTCCCGCTCATTGCGTCACGCCCGCCACGCCCATTTTCAGACGCGGAAGTAAAATTTTCTCACAAAAACGACTGCAGAAGCTTCTGTGGCGTGTTTATACGTATATTTTAAAGAAAATCTAGTTCCTACATTGTTTTTCTATGCATTGACTCGTTGGGTCCTCTAACCTGCAATATGCCCTTTAAGTACTTGGAACCTCTTTGAACCAGTTCACTTGAGCTGAGTGATGACATAACTAAGTTATTGCATAACTACTCAAAATCGCATCACATCCTTGTCTGTGAGGCTTGTAAATTTTAATAACTTTTAACAGCAAAAAGATTTGAAAGTTAGAAGTCGAGTCTCGACTGATGTTTTTTTTCGGCTGGTGCTCATACCGATGTCTAAAACACTGACTGATGGCTGATAAGATCCCAATATTATTCTCTATGTAGGCTAATACAATTGGTTGTGTAAAGTAACTATCTTGTTAAAGTGAATGGCCATTTTCAAAACGAAAAACTAAGTGCTAATTAGTAATTGACTTTTTGAAGCTGTAAGTAATTTGAGGGAAGTGGGGAGAAACCGCTTCTGGTTATTTGGTCGATATAAGTCACCAGAAGTTATGATGGAAAAAAAATGTGGGAATCAATTCACATGTGATGTATCTGTAAATAAAACATTTTGTTTTAGACTGATAGTGCAAAGTGAAACAGGAATGGGATATGTGTCAGATGAATGGCAGTCTGGCTCTTGGTTGGAAAGTCTGTAGACTTTATTGTATTTTCTATGCTGAACATTAATTTAATTTGATAAAATGTTTTAAATAGTGCTGAGAGCTTTGCAGTTTTATTGGTAAATCTTATCAAATTAGCTTAAGTTTTTAATAAAAATGGGATGTGTAGTATTTATCAGATGCTCTCTTTCTGCTGAAATCCGTAGCGCTTTCCACATGCAAATGTCTGTTAGCTTGTGTGTGAGATATTTTCCTCTATATATTGGTCATCATTAGGTCATAGTTATCTGCTGGTCTTTAATGTGGATTCAGCCTCAAGTTGTTGAGGACTGAAGTCTGGTGCTCTAATGGGTTCTCATTAGTATTATCTCACTACATTTGTTTTGATTGTACCATTGGCTAAACCTATCAATTAATCAGTCTGAACAACAGCTGACCTCATATTTTGGTCCACGGACAGCATTTTAACCATTGGACTTTCTCCTAACCACACAGAATAGCTTGTTTTCTTCCAGAGGCAAACCAAGACAAAATGCCTTTAGAGACTGTTTTATAATCCTCCTACAAACTCATTAAAAAGATGTGTATTTGACAGATTGAAGACAATTGCATAAGGTGGCTTGTCTTTAGTAATATATAACAGGGCATGTTTACACTAGGGAGAGTAAATGTCTGTAATTATTTTTGAAGTAGGAACATTATCATTAGTTCGCACATCTGGCAGCGGAGGTTGGTTGAAAACAAAATATAAATGGCTTGGGTTGTTGCTCTGTAGGCACTTGGCAATGTAGGGATGCACCGATACCACTTTTTCCAGAACTGGGCCTTTTTCTCTGCATTTGTATTGAGAAACAAAATGAATCCTTTTAGTTGGCTTAATTTGTTTTTAGCAATTAGACATCTCCTTCAGTTATTTTCATGCTTGATCAAACCTAAAATGAATTCTATGAGCTTGTTTTACTTAAAAGGGATACTCCACTTTTTTTTTTTTTTTTGGAAATAGGCTCATTTTACAACTCCCCCAGAGTTAAAGGGTTAGTTCACCCAAAAATGAAAATTAAGTCATTAATTACTCACCCCCATGCTGTACCAACCCCGTAAGACCTTCGGAACACAAATGAAGATATTTTTGATTAAATTTGAGAGCTGTATAACTACCACATTGGCTCCTAAGGGACTGCCTCTTGACGGCCCAGAAAGTCAATGAAGAAAATGTTTAAAAATATCCCAAGTGACTACCGTGGCTCAACTATATGTTTATCAAGTGACGCGAATACTTTTTGTGCGAAAAAACAAACAAAAATAACGAGTTTATTCCACTATTCCTTTTCTTCCTTGTAGGCCAGAAACGAGACTTCCTTAGATTTCCACGACGCATGCGCGAGAATTGCGATCTACTTACACTACTTCAGTTCAGTTCTCGCGCATGCGTCGTGGAAATCTAAGGAAGTCTCGTTTCGGACCTACAAGGAAGAAAAGGAATAGTCGAATAAACTCGTTATTTTTGTTTGTTTTTTCACACAAAAAGTATTCGCGTCGCTTGATAAACATATAGTTGAGCCACGGTAGTCACTTGGGATATTTAAACATTTTCTTCATTGACTTTCTGGGCCGTCAAGAGGAAAAATGCTAAGCATTTCTTTGTCAAAAAGTAGACATTGATTGGGTCTCATTCACTAATGTTTG